TGTGCATGCAAGGCAAGCACTCTACCAACTGAGCTATATCTCCAACCCCCTATATTTTCAATTAACTAATGTTTAGTTCTGTGTATTTATGGTGAAGTGATACCTCTTTTGGGCTTTTGGGTATATGTTCATAGTTTAGTGATCTTAACATTTGCTCATAAACATTTCTAAGTAATTTTTTTTAGCCATCATTGTGGTTGCTTTGTCCTGAATTCCCTGCCCACATTTCATTTCCTTACCTTTTACTCTGAAAACCACTGAAATATACATCCCACCACCACCATTCAGATAAAACTTGCCCTTCTAAGATTAGTAAAGGCCTTTTGACATTTACAGCCCACGGAAACTCTTAAATCTTTAAAGAATGTCAAAGAAATACATAAAATATCTTTTTTTTTGCACTTACATTTTTTTGCTTTTGCTTTTCTTATTATTATTATTATTATTATTATTATTATTATTATTATTATTATTTTAGTTGTAGTTGGACACAATACCTTTATTTATTTTCTTTTTTTATGGGGTGCTGAGGATCAAACCCAGCACCTTGCACATGCCAGGCAAGAGCTATACAGCTAAGCCATAACTCCAGCCCCTGGCTTTTTCTTTTAAACCTGGTGATAATTATTTCTTTAGGTAATCACTTGACAATTCTGTAAACAAGTAGAAACTTTTAGGCCCCAAATCTATTTTTTTTTGCTTGGTTTCCTTGGTTTGGATTTTGAATAAGTAATAATTGTTTGACTTCTGCAAAATGAATAAAACCGTCAAGCTCACCAGGTGGTTCCTGATGGAAACCACCATAAGTGGTTAGTGTCAGAAAGATTTAGCCCTGTGCCTCCTGCCAGGGCAGGCAGATGCAACAAAGTACCTTTGCCAACCCTGCTGACTGAAACTGACACTCACTCTCTCTTCTGCCTGAAGACAAAAATGAGAACCTCATCAGTGAGACCTGAAAGTACACAGCAAGATTCTACTTTCCTTCCACCTTAATATCACGCACCCATGAGGCTTCAGGTTGTGGATCAGGTCTTCTTGTGAATGGCCTCTTCTCCATTTTGTAACTGAGGAGGTGGGGGCAGAGTAGATTATAGGCTTTGTTTAACAAGAAGGTAGAAGTGAGACTACTTCTGTGACCCAAGCAGCACTACTTGGCCACCACAGCCCCAACTCCTTTGGCCTCCTTGCAGTTTGTGATGTCATCAATCACTTCCTCATTAAAAGTCTTTCACGGTAATTTCACAAAAACCACACTTGGGTTTTACACATCTCTCTCTGTTCTCTCTTTCAATCTTCTTTAAGCAAAGGATAAAGAACCCAGGCTCTTTAAATATGGGTGTGTCCCAAATGATCATACTTGACCAGTCCTTATCCTGTAGCATTTTAAGGTTAGATCTGTTTCCAGGGACTCTGTTTCGGAGCCAATCACTGGTTCACTTTTAAGAGGTGGGCAGGCATATCTTAACAATCTCATCAGTTGTTCCCACTTTGATGTCCCATAGAAGGTTAAACTTAATTAATGTAGCTGTACCCCCAAATCTCCTTCTTGTGCTTCTTTCTAAATGTGTGCACTATCAATGGCCCAAGACAGAAATGTCCTTTAGGCCATTCTCTTTCTTTTCCCTCCCTAGAATCTGTTTAGTTACCATGCATTGCCTATTCTTTTTTTTTTTTTTTTTCAAACCCTAGAAGACAACCCTCCTTTCTAATTTTACTAAGCATCCTGTCTATTAGCTCAGAATTGTGTTATTTTGGTCTTGAATGATATCCTAGCTGCCTGTTTTTCCAATGTTTCATTTCTCTCACCATCACTAATTTAGTCTTGCTATAACAAGAGCTTAATAGGGTCTTCCTCAACTTAAAATGATCCCATACTTTTCCTATCCTTCATGAAAAAAAAATCCAATGTCTTCTTCACAGTCTGTGGCCTTCACTAATGGCTTCTTTTTCAACCTCTCCAACGTTGATGACTTTGAATGATGTTAGCTGCTACAACATCTTTTTCATGGAAGTTTATGTGGTTATTGAGTGGGGGTTTCTGATGTTGGGCAGCTTCTGTCCATGTGGTACTGCAGGGTGAAGAGACCCTTCTACTTTTATCTCCGTCAACCCTTAAGTTCTCATTATCTTCCACATCAAGTCAAGGAGAGCCAAACAGCATGGTGGAGGCTCACCTATTTTTTAAACACTTGGCTATAAGTAACATTTTTTTTTTCTCAGAATCCATTGGCTATAGTTCAGTCAAGTGGCCTCACCTATAGAGGCAAGGAAATGGAATTCTACTCTAGAAGCCACTTTTCAGCAATATCTATTCCAAGAGTGGGGAAACACAAAATTTGGCCTACAGTGAATTATCTGTCTCAAAGTGAGAAATCTCTGTCAGTTTCACAGCTTTCTCCCTTTTTTAGTCAGCTTTTAATTACTGTGACCAAAAGACTTGACAAGAAAAACTTAGAGGAGGAAAAGTTTATTTTGGCTCATGGTTTCAGAGGTTCATTCCAAAGCTCTGGGATGGAAGTAAGACAGAACATCATGGTGGAAGGGTGTGAAATACAAAATCAGCTCAACCCATGGCAACCAGAAGTGGAGAGCAAGTTCTACTCACCAAGGACAAAATATAAACCCCAAAGGCAACTTCCCAGTGACCTACTTCTTCCAGCCACATCCTACCTGCCTACATTGATGCAGATCAGTGGATTAATTTGCTCATTAGGTTACAACTCTCATAATCTAATCATTCCACCTCTGAACATTTTTGCATTTTCTGACACATAAGATTTTGGGGGATACCTTAAGTTATAGCCAATTGTGTTCCCCAAAAGTTCCTGTATGTGACAATGTAAGAAAGTTTAGAGTTAAAATGATCAGGTTATGAAAGCCTTAATCTAATCAGTGCATTGATTTGCTTGAATGGATTAACTGGGTGATGACTGTAGGTAGGTAGAGTGTGGCTGGAGGAGGTAGGTCATGAGGAGCATGTCTTTGGGGTTTGTGTTTTGTCCCTGGTGAATTAAACTCTCTCTGCTTCCTGATTATCATTTCCTGAGCTGCTTTCCTCTGCCACACCCTTCTGCCACCATGTTCTGCCTCATATCAGGCACAGAGCAATGGAGTTGGCAGTTGATGGACTGAGACCACTGAAACCCTGAGCACCAAATAAACTTTTCTTCTTCTAAGTGCTCTTGTCAGATTTTTTTGGTCATAGTTGCATAAAACTTGACTTAGACACCTTATATTTAAACCATAACACTCCCTGTTACACTGAATCCACACCTATTTGTATTTTTGAAATGCACCAGTATAACCCTTTGCATACGTAGCTGACTTCAGCTTCTAGGTGTATTCTACTCTTCTTTCAAAATATAGCTAAGCAAGCTTTAACTGCAGAAAAGTTGTCACTGTATTCTCCTTTCAAGATATATATCATCTCTATGTCTTCTATATTATTCTGTTGTGATAAATGCTTGGAAGTCAATTCTGTGGATTATTGCTTTAAATCTCTTTTTCTCTTTTGCACTGAGACTTGAAAAATATGTGTATTTAAAATGTGACTCACCCGGAATGATTTAGAAATAAAGTTTGTAATGCACAAACTTCCAGGAATATTGTTGTTAAAGTAAGAGAATTTAAGATTTTATAAATAATGGTGATTATGTTAGGCGGTAGTGAAATGCATGTCACAAGTATTCTTTAAATTATTTTAGGGTCTTCTTTAAATTACTTCCAAAGTAGACAAGAAAGTAAAGGGTGGTAGTTAATTTATAGAAAATAAACAGAAGCAAAAGAGCTAATGGGAAAGTACGTCAAAAGTAAAAGATTAATGGGACTAAATCTTGACAGGGTCCACTGAGGTTGATGTGAAGTTAGGAATTATAGCTATAAGTGTCTCCATCTGTCTGGGAAGGAAGATTCCTTTAGCTGGGCAGGCGCACTAAGGAAACTTCAGACCAGCTGTTGACCCCAGTGCTGGCATTAACATGGGATTGACTTGTTAGATTAGATGAAGCCCCTCTAAATAGGTGGCCACCATGACAATTCCAGAGAGGACCAATTAAGGTCAATAACTCCTCTACCTGACATGAGGGGGAGTTGGCAGCGTACAGAAGGTGGTCCCCAGTTCTCCTGGTAAACATCAAACAGTAATAAATTTGGAGACAGCTCAGTCTCCTTTGTTGTTCTCTGCTCAGAGATGGCCCATACTCTCTCTTGAGTGGTCTCTGCTTGAGCCTCACTTTGCTTTTACTTTATTTTCACCACACTTTCTCTTTACTTTCCCTTATAATAAAGTTCTTTTGCATGGTTTTAAGTGTCTGACTTTAAATTTTCTTTCATCAGAACACAAGAACTGAGGTTTGGTTTTTCAGCTCCCTGATTTCCTGTGTCAATTACACATTTGGCTATTTATAGTTTGTTAAAGATGGGCTTTAAAAAAAAAATCTTCATTGGAAATCCCTAGAAGACAGCATAAAGATTTCTTGTTAATTAATAACAAACATCCTCTTATTCTGGAAAGACACCAAATTGCACATCCATGCCTTCCTTAATTAGTAACAAACTCACTTCCTTTTTTCTGGAAAGATACCAGACTGTTTATTCCCAGACATGGCAACCCACAAAGTTCAGATCAAAGAAATGTGAACAGAAGTGACAAGTTTCAGTTCTAGGCCTTGCTGTTAAAACTCCCATATGCAACGCTTCTCTCCCCTCCTGTCTACTCTGTCAAAACCCAGAAGCACCTCAGAAGCCACACAGTGTAGATGTCCAGGCTAATGGGAATGCAAGGGAATGATGCTACAAAGCAGCATCCCTTCCGCATATGCACCACCTCCATGCAGTGGTTTTATAGTTTTACTTATTTTCTTATCCTGTTATTAAAGTGTAGAGTTGGTAAGACCCTAGCATTACTCAAATTAATAGGACTACAATGTTGATTTAAAAGGAATTTATATTTTTAATTTAATCAGAAAATTAAACTCCCTTTTCATGGCTAGTTTTTCTAAATATAAAATGTTGCTGATGCAAAGTGAAATCAGGCTTCTGGTGCTGCTTTCCATCAATCCCTGTTACATCCATTTCCCTTCGAGGCTGTGGAAGTCTTAAGAGTTATTGTTTCCAGCATTAACCTAGGTAAGAAAACAAAGATAACAGCAATAATGAGAATTTTAGAGGGGTACATTGAATATCCTCAGTGATACAACAAAAAGCCAGAATCACAAATAATTACAACAATAGTATAAAATTAAGAAGAAATGACCTACCATGCACAAGAGAACAGCAATAAGCTGCTTGCGTTGAGTGTGAAGTCAGGCAAAAAACTGTGATGAATACCCTCCAAGTTCATAACCACTCTCCTTCCCAATCCTCCACCTCCCCAATAGACATGTCTTTCATGTAACAAATCAACTGGAGTTAAGTCCAGGGTCAGGCAGTGACTCATCAGCACATCACATTCTTGGACTCTTTCCACATTTCAACTCCACCATATTCAACCTTGCTCTCTGATGGTCTTGAGTTGGCCAGTTCATCCTTACACAGGAGAGAAGGAGAAAGGTACATAAGTAAGTGCACACACGTGTGTGTGTGTTTGCACACATGTGCACATAAATACTCATATACATGTGAGCAGTAAGCCCTTTCCTAAAAGCCCTCAAGAAGATGTTCCCCCGCCCAGTATGGACAATATGCTCACCAGGCCACCAACCACAGGGAAAGGAGGATGAACTCACTTGAATGGACTACCAAGCAAAATTCATCCTTTGTGTTCTGAACCTCCTTCCATATACACAGTACCTGAAAAAATGGAGTTTTTTTAGCAAGTGATTCTGAAAAGGTGTTCCAGGTAAAAAATATCATCTCTATCATGGAAATTTGTTAGAAAAGCTCCATCCTAGAAATACTAAATTAGAAACATTGAAGGTGGGACTCTCAAAATTTAGTATTAACTGGTTTTCTAATGATTCTTACGCATGCTAAAATCTGAGAATCACTTATTTACTGCATCAAAGTAGAACTTGAGTAGAGAGTAGGCAACCAATCATTTATACCATTATCTAGATATTTTCTAATTAAAGGCACCTTTCTGAACTCTAAACTTTTCTTCACAGACCATAATAAGACAAAAATGAAATGGTTAAAATAACAAAACAAAAAAGATAAAAAGAAAGAAAGAAAAAGAATCCAAAAGTTGTAAAAGGCACAAGGATTCAGAAACATTCAAAGAGGAAGCAGATGTGGTAAAAAAAAAAAAAATTGCAAGATACAGGAAGTATGTAAAGAGGGCGCTAGGTTAAGAAAATTCAATTTACCTCCACAGAACCCCAGTGAGACTGAGGACTTACTTGTATCAAATGAAGAAGAGCATAAAGTTGAAAATCAAAATTAAAGTATTGATTGCCTGAAGGTCTCTGCTCAGAAGCCTGTTCACTTACCCTGTTGCTACCTCCATGGAGACAATGCAGCAGCAGCCTAAGCAAGAGGTGGCAAGTGTCTTGGGTGTAGAAATGAACACAGAATTGTTTGGATTAAAAAATATAATATTCATCCTAGAAGAAGAGATGAAAAACTAAAAATGAGAGCTAACCAAATTTCCATATCTTCTCTAGCCTTTTTCTACAGTAGCAGGTCAGAAAACAGGAAGCTAAACCTGAAGCAAAAGTTTACTGTAAACAGGGCACCTTTCTAAACAGTGTGTGTTTTAACTTCTCCAAGCATCTTTAAAACACTATCTATTACCACCCTCATTTACAGATTAAAAAACAAGAGATTGTCAGGTTACTTGCAAAGCTCATAGCGATGGTGAGTTGAGGAGACTCAACATCAAATCAGATGGAAAGTTAGATGGAAAAAAGAAAGAGGAAAATTAAATCACCCGGTCTGTGATTTAATTTTCCTCTTTCTTTTTTTCCATCTAATTTTCGCAATTTGTCTCTCCACCTCCCCCTCTTTCCTGCCACCTCTTTCAGTAAACCTTCAAATGTTTGTTAACCATGGTGAGCAAGACAATGAGGGAAAAAAATAGGAAGAGCGGAGAATAAGGTTTCATTTCTTTTCAGCTTAGGTTGCTGTGGAAGTCTCATTTGGAAGATATCCTGTTACTTTTGTCAATATAAATGTTGAAACAAATTCAATAAGTATTTGTTTTATGAATGCCTGTGCATGGGCTGGAAAATTAAACATTCTTTAAAAATCTGTTCCACTTGATTTCTAAACTACGTTAAAAAAAAAAATCATTTCATGGGGTGGGGGAGGGGGCAAGACAACAAGAAACAAAAGGAACCATAGAGGAAAACAATCTCGTGCTGCGACAAATTGAAGATTTGTGTTTCTTTTCATGTTCCTCCCCCTCCCACCTCCCCACCCCCCTTTTTTTTCCTTGCTGTCTTGGTATGATTTCTCGCGGGTGGATGCTAGAAAGTGGGGCGGGGAAAACAGGACAAAAACGAAACTCCATGGAAGTAGAAGGGTGCCCATCAGGGTGGAGGAAGGGCAGAAGAGTTGGGAGGAGATCAAAGGAAGGGAAGTATTGGGGAGGGAAATTGTTAAAAAAAAAATTAACTATGTACGACCGTGCCACAATCAAATCCGCAATTGTGTAAAATGAATAGGCATCAAGAAAAACTAACTCTTAAACCACAGGAATCCGAGGGATGGAGGTCAAAGCCACAGGAAAGGAAGTTTCCCCGAAGAGGCCACTCCCACCCAGTGACTTTCCAGTTCAAGGTGGTGTAGGCGCCAGTTCATCTCTGCCTTAACCCCGGGACAAGTCTTGGGGCCTCTCTTAGAGCTGGAAAGCAGCGGGGCAGCCGTTCCGCTGGCTTCAGGCAGCGGCTCCGCCTCCAGCTTGGCCGACTCCGGACCGCGCTGGGGGGACCCCGCACATCTGCGCAGGGCAAGGGAGGAAAATTCTTGAATACGCAGGATCCAGGAAACGAAACCCAGAGCCCTTGGTGTCCGCGCCAAAGTTTCCTCACTAGCTTTCACTCTAAGGCGTTTCCTCGCTAGCTTCAGGGGAGGTTGTGTAACACCTGTGCCATCAGCAAAAGAGTCGAGAGGAACGCAGCCTCCACCTGGCGCCCGGATTCCCAACAGCCTGAGCCACAGGTGAGCGAGGGCTTTCTCCGCCGCCTCTCCGCCGTGGGGGCGCGGGACCTGCGCACGTTTCTGGGAGCGACCTAGGTGAAGCGAGCTGCCCGTGCGGAGAGGCACAAGGGTCCTTGTGTCCTGTTTGCTCTGTGGGTAGAAGTTGGGGAGGGAATTCTGAGGGACCTGGAATGAGCTCGGGAATGGAGCAGAGATTCAGCCAGGACCCAAGCTGTGCGGGTGGTATTCTTGGCCCATCCCAGGACCTTTATAATGACAAAGGTGTGTCCTGTTGGGGGTGTGGAGGATCCCCAAGGGCTCTACTTGCAGTTAGTGGCACCACTTCACAATTCAGAGAGCAGTACTAAATCATGGCCAGAAGGTGAGCGCAGAGCTTGGGCCAACTTCGTGGGGCATTAGAAGGCAGGATTAGTAAAACTGCTAGCTGCCATTGAACAGCAATCATTAATAGGATTATGGCTGCAGCTGAAACTATGTTTGGCAATCCGGAATACCAGACGAATAAGAAAGATAGAGGGGTAGACCGGCATGGTGGGTGAGCCCTTCAGATGCCCGCTTCCATCCTGCCTCACGTCCATGGGCTCTGGGCCAGTGTCTTCACTCATGTTCCTTTAGCTGCCTCATCTCTGAAATCTCTGAAATTGTGTAACTATTACAAGAACCACCAAGTTAAGAAACAGCATTACGTGCATTAATATAAGGTGTGAGAGTCCCACCTGGCACTGCAGAAGGTCCCCAGGCAAAGCTCGCTTCCATTATTTCAAGTATTTGGCAAAGTGCCTGCTGCTCCTTGCTGACCCCACCCCCCACCCCCGGGGGGGGGGGGTGTTTTATTGATGCCTTGGATTCCTGGATGGCTGGGCAGGACCACTTCCCAGTTCCAGAAACCAGAGTCACTTCTTCAAGTTTGGCAACTGGAGACATGTTAGAGAGCTGCAGCTTGGTGAGAGGTCTTAGGCATATCAGGGCTCTTTCCCCTTCCTGATCCTGCCTTACAGCAGAACTTTCTCTTAAGTAGGGCTTTGAACAATGAGCACACACGGAAATTAAAAAAAAAAAAATGAGTTTCTACATTTGGATAGAAAAGCAGCGTGTAAATAAGGTGGATGATAGACCAAGATCTGTAAAGGGGCTTAGCACACAGGCGGAGGGACATTACAGTAGGTGAACTGCCCCTGTGCACCCTCCATCCTCACCTCTGAGGAGCTTCTCCCTTCCCTGTTCTGCCATCTCACCGACCTCTCATTCCTGGGTGAGTCAAGACACTTATGGGCGTCTACACTTCTGAGGTGTGGTGTCCCCCTCCCCCCCGTCCCCATTCAGTGTCCCTGGCATACACCCCACAAGCATAACTTCATGACCTGGATGCTTATAGACATTTTTTTAGCTTTCCTGACAATACCATCACAGCTATCATCTAAATAAGGATTTAGATATGTCATCTACCTGTAGTAATTTAATTATCTTAATTGTTTAAATCCCCAAGTGCCTTTGTATAGTACTCAAATGCCTGGATAGAGACTTGCTTGTTCTATATCTAAAATTAGTACTCTTGAGAATCACGTTTTCCACTTGGTGAATACTGAGATGGTAAATGTTTATGTAAGCATACAGGAGGATGTGTGTACCATGAATGTATGTGTTTCATACACACTCACACACACACTATAACACAATATTGCATAGTGCCCAATACCCCCGTTAATAAATACTAACAAATGTTTGCTTTCCAAATTTTGTTTGATAAATGCTTAGAAAATCCTTATCTGGCCTAGTAAAAAAAAAAATGTACATGGCCACAAGAGCAACAAAACTTTTCTGTCTTACATATGAAAGGCATTACATTAAAGGCGGTCTCTAACAAATGTCATTGAAAGTTGGGAGCCGACTTGGAAGATGAGTTTTTGTTTCTTTCACCTCTTTGGTTTATTGTTAGTTTTGTAAAACCCTGGACACTACTAAGTTTGTCTGAGTAGATGTATGATCTACATTCTTATTCAAGGTTTACAGTAAAATACTATAAGATTCTATCCCCAAATGTTTTTTTTTTTTTTTAGGTTTGTATCTTTTTAAAAAAATTTTTATTTGTTTTAATTAGTTACACATGACAGTACAATGACCTTGACATATCATACATTTGAATCAGATGGGATATAATTTCTCATTTTTTCTGAGTGTACAGGTTGCAGAATCACATTGGTCATGCAGTCATGTATATACACACAGCAATAATAATGTCTATTTCATTCCACTATCCTTTCTTTCCAAAATGGTTCTAAGCACATTTGTTTTGTTTTCTTGAGCCCAAACTACAGAAGTGGATTTTACGGAAGACTTCCTGTTACAAGCTACTTTGCACTTAAAATCTGCCTCCATCCTGCATCAGACACCTATTTTGCAAGTCTATGTCCTGCTGTATCAAATTACTTCCCTTTCCCCTTTCCTCCCCCTCCCCCCATTCCTGTAAATGCCCTTGTTTTGCTCTGCTTATCTATTAACATAACCACAATTAAACAGATGCAATATTTTTATCATTAGCTGTTCATGAAACATTTTTAAATGCACACAGTTTACCCACAAACATAATGAGAAGGACGTTAAAATCACTTAATTTTTGACTATCCTCAAAAAATTTTGTCTTCTCCTGGCCTACTCCAGTGACCCTCCTTTTCCTCCTCAGATCATGCATCACCATCTTAGTATTGAACTTGTTTATATTGTGTTTTTGGTTTGCAGGAGATGGAGGTGGGGGAAATTTGTGGTTAGATAATTAACAAGTAAATCCAGGTAAATAAACCAAATCTATTTTATGTACATTGTATAGACATAGTAATTTTATGATCTTCTAAAAATACTTTTTGAAAGCAATAAAAATTTTAGGATCCTAAGTGTTCGGTCAGAGGTTGTCACTGTAGTATGAGTTATGAAGTCACAGCTGAAAATCTCCATCCTTTTTCTCCCTCTCCCTAGTGGGAGTATTTTACAATGATCAAATAGCCCAGAGCAGCAATAGGGACTTATGACATTTGACAGAACAACTTTATATATATATATATATATTTCTATAACATATGATGCTAAAATTACCACCAAAGTTCTCATTCAATGTAGGAAGAAGTATGCAACCATCAGATTATATTTTGGAGTTCTGTTTGTTCAGGTGTAATTATGATTCCAATCATACAATATATATTATGAGTTTATTATAGACTTTTTACTCTGGATGCATCATAAATATGATTTCCTCTTCCTGGAAAAAATATATATTTATTTATATTTATATATGATTAGCAAGAACCATTATTTAAAAGCTGTTATGTTAAATTTACTAATTCAATCAGGGCACACCTAATTATTTCCAAAATGAATGATATGTCTTGAAATAGATCCATTAAAGTTGAGAAAACGGAAAGATGCTCCTAACAGCCAATAAGAGGTCAGGAAGAGAAGGCACCCACATGGTAGATGACTATATTTATCAAGTAAATAGCACTTTATTATAATAGAAAACTACTGTTAAAATTAATTGGCACCTGAAAAGATAAAAGAACCAATTAACATTTGGACATTGCTTATGACATACCAGTTTTAATGCTTAAGATATTTTGTAATTGCTACATTTAAAACCTATAGTAAAGCCGGGCTCTGTAGCACACACCTTTTATCCCAGGGGCTCTGGATGTTGAGGCAGGAGGATTATGAGTTCAAAGCCAGCCCCAGCAATTTAGCAAGGTCCAAAGCAACTTAGAAAGTCTCTATTTCAAAATAAAATACAAAAGGGCTGGGATGTGGCTCAGTTCAGAGCCCCTGGGTTCAATTCCTGGTATGTGTGTGTATACAGTAAAATGAGGATCCAGATTTTATTCTACAGCATTTTTGCCAATAGGTACTCAATTTCACTTATATTTTAAGACTCAAAATAATGCAACCAACTAGGAGGAGAAAGAGCAAGTAGGAACAATTGAGTCCTGTTTTGTACTCTGTTTAGTTTCCCTTCCTAGGATTTCTGGATCAGGAGGGAATGATCTGTAACCCTAGGAAAATACTGTGTTTTCTCTTAGTTGGTACTCATTAGGAAGGGATCTGGAACCTTCCAGTACTACGTCCTTAAGATCCACCTGACATGATGTACAAAATTAGCTTATGAAATTTCTCATCTTTCTAGTTTACAAGTATTTGTGGCTTGCTGGACTTCCTAGCCCCAAACAACTAAGTTCTAAGAAGAAATACTTTTTAAACACAAACAAAAATATTTTCCATCTCTGATGTATAGGTTTGCAATCCAGAAGCTAAAGGATCTTTCGTTTTTTAAAATTCAGTTCACAAAATATAAAGAATAAAATTCTGCCTGTGTTTTTCCTTTTGGATGTTATTTAGGATTTGTCCAATATACTGTTTGGTGCCTTTCTGATATTGGTAGGCAAGTTGAAAAAGACTGGGAAAAAAAAAAAAAAAAGGTCCCTTAAAATTACTGTTAAAGGGCTGGGGATATACCTCAGTTGGTAGAGTGCTTGCCTCACATGCATAAGGCCTGGTTCAATCCCCAGCACCACAGAAAAAGAAAAGAAAAGAAAATTACTGTTAAAATTAATTAAAAGGCATTTAACTAAGCTTATTGAAGATTGATGTCTTAAAGGATGCAGGTGACAGATAAAAACTTTTGAGATATGTAGTTCAGCATATTAACTAAGGGATACTGCCTATTTCTGTACTAGAATTTATCAGTCATTTAATTTGTATGTATCTGTGAAGATACTTAGTCTATTTTATGCAAATAGGTATTCCTTTTAATGTATCAACACCAATATGGTGTTGACCAAATTCATCATGAGATTTTGCATATATGAATTCAGTCTCTGTTTACAGTTCTTTCTCTGATGGATCTTTCTACTCAGTACTTCTGTCCTGCAGTACTTTGATCCTATCTCAGGCTTTTCCACCTCTGTTCAGTCTCCTCCCTACCTACTGTAAATTCCAACCCCATTTTATGTGTGCTGATTACAGTGAAAACATGGGGCAAAATTCGGTTATGCAACTGTTTTATCTCCAACCCACATGCTCAGACAAGCTGCCCTTCCTCTTCCCAGGCCCACCCACTGTTGGTGGCTCTTTTGCTGACTCCTACGTCATAGACTGACTGATAACCTCCAAAGTCCTATATGTAAACCCAGCCTAGGGAGTCAGATCAAGCCCAGAAACTCCCAACGCCTGGATGAGGCTAGAGTCAGCTAATGAAGAGGACTGTCCCTTGAGTGTGACTCTGTAGTTCTAGTAAACTGTCTTTCCACCGTCATATTTGACCTATAAACTCATAGACAGTGCACTAATATCAGATCTTTTTTTTTCCAGAACTATTTAAATCATGGAGAAACACAGTAAGTAATTCATAAGTATTTACTTTTCTTTCCTATAATGTTCAATCTATTTACTTGCTATTTGTTACAATGTTCTATTCAATTCTTGAATTAATTTAGTTTGCTTTGTGTTGTTTGTGCTCCAGAATCCAATGTCTAATTCAGTATTTCTACTCTAAAGGTGTACACAATATTCACCACCAACAATCTTTTTTCATTAATAATAGGAAAGTCAGTGAGAGCAACATATTGGACTTGTTGGTAAATAGATAAGTATACTGTATTTCATCAAGAACAATTTTTCTATTCTCTGTGCATTTTATACACAGAAGATTTATTCAAGTCCTACTTATTAACATAATAAATTCACGATGTCAGGTGATGGTAATGAAAATCTCAGATATATATACTCATACATTTTTCAGAATATACACATGTGTATAGGCTTAAATAAATATCAATCTTAATGTTATCTACATGTTAGGAAAAATACCAGAAACCAAATCCTGTTTTTCTGAAATGATGTGTGTTCTCCCTTTTATTTTTATGGAGATAGCTAAAAACATATATATCTCTCACAATAATTCAAGCCCTGATCAATGTCTTAGATAATCTTTTTTTTTTTTTGGTATCAGGATTGAACTCAGGGGCATTTGACCACTGAGCCACATCCCCAGCCTTATTTTCTATTTTATTTAGAGACAGGGTCTCACCACGTTGCTTAGCACCTCGCTTTTGCTGAAGCTGGCCTTGAACTGGTGACCATCTTGCCTCGGCCTCCTGAGCCTCTGGGATGACAGGCTCCACTGTGCCCAGCTGTGATCTTAATGACTGCTATATTGACTTAATTTTATTTGTAAAACTTAAACTTTTATAAAGTAGGTTTATTTTGAGAAGATTACAAGTTTGAGGGCAGCCTTAGCCACTTAGCAAGACCCTGTCATCCCCCCTGTCCCTCCCAAAAAAGATTGGGGGTATAGTTCAGTGGTAAAGAACCCCTGGATTCAATCCCCAGTGCCCACCCCCCACCCCACAAAAGTAAATTTATATAGATGTAATGCTTCATATACTAGAAGCTCTGAGATACTTCAATTCAGAAAAGTTAATTTGTCCATGGTCATGCCCACCTTTTATCTTTTCAGAGAGATATATATATATATATATATATATATATATATACACACACACACACACACACACACATATATATACACACACACATGAGCATAAAAATAAAATATGTATATGTACATGAGTAAATATGCACATACATATATGAATACACATATGGAGACATAAAAATATAGTATCTTCAAGACAATGTAATAGTTCTATGTTGCATTTTAGAAATACAGAAATAGACCTTAATTCCTATTCTCTTTGTATTCTTTTTGATCTACATGAACATCTGCCCATTCACTTATTTGTGTGTGTGTGTGTGTGTGTGTGTGTGTGTGTGTGAATTCCTCCTGGTAATCCTGAATTAGGATCATTGCACTGGTACCCAAACCCAGAGATAATGAGCTCCAGTTTTCTGAGTCTGTCTCTTCTTGAGGATGTGTGTGTGGTACATAATTCAAACAATCATGCTTGTTAGTCTGATCCCATTGTTTTCTAACTCACATTGGAAGTGGGGCTGCAGGCAAGATCCTAAAAGCTGGAGAACTAGGGAGCTGGGCTGCTTTTCTAGCTGAGAAACAGAAGAGGATGGTTGGGATGAAATGACCTGTGCTATATCAGAGAACTGTGGTAATTTGAGACATTGTGGTGTCTGTCCAAGGAAAATCCTAATTCAAGTAGGAGATTTTTCATTGCTTGAATTTGCAGTTTCGGTGACTACATTCTGCTGAAGGTATTACCACACTGATTGAAAGGGAGGGAGGTGCAGTCTGCTTCCTGATAAGCCAGTAAAATTACAGGAGTTGAGTGGCCTTTGGAAGTTCATAATACAGACACATACAGAAAATATGAGATTCAAAGTCCAATTAATATTTCCTTCTATATCTGTGTCATGTCTTCACGATCCCAAAACAAACAATTCTGAATTTCCAGTCAGTAACCCATAAGGAAGTAGAGGTGAGAATAATATAAGTTTAGTATCCACTAGACCATCATTTCTGTGAAGGCAGGGCCACTGCAGCCCTAAAGCCTATGGGTGACACAGGAACTACTGAGTAAATATTTATTGATGGGTTGGGTAGATAAATGAATCACTAGGGAAAAAAGAATATGAAGAACTAGGAAGTTGAACTATTCAAGCAGATAATTGGTAGATAACAGTTAAATGTTAGTATATTATAATTAAACATGGATTTTGTAGGTCAGAATGAGTTTTATTTTGGAAATTTTATATGTTTCAACCTTATCAGTGTAGTTTCACAATAAGCATGAAATAGATACTGAAGTACAAGTTTTATATTTACAATTTTCTTTAAAGCTAATTGTGATACCCCCCTGGATAGCAGTGATTACAGATACTTTAAAAATCATCCACAATCCTGTGACCATCGCCACATCCAATTAGTTTTATTTACTGCTTTCTTCATGAATTGCAGGTGGTTTTAAAACTATCTTTTTATCACAAAATCAAAACCTAGAACTGAGCATACATTAACACATTTGAAAAAAATTAGCTCTCATAACAGACACAACTTAGGGTAAATGAATTTACTTTGTTTCAATATAGCTTAAAACCACATAGTGAATATTATCTAAGGACAATGATTTTTGCTTTCTAATATATATTTTATTTAAACAAACATACATTTACCTCTGTTTGAATTGCAGACATGCCAATTGATGCTCCCCAACCAGGAACGAGTTTTGATGCTGGATATTCCCCTCCATATCCACCAACAGCATTCCAAGGTAAAATATTTGATTAAAAAAGAAAGAGTAACATTAAACAATTGATATTCCCTAGGGACAGAAGAAGAGTGAGGGGGAAAGTTTCTTTATTTTAGTTGTTCTTTTTTCTCGAAATTGCACTAAAGTAATTGCTTTTTTACTGACTTCTTCCTCATCGTTACAATATAGTGTAACAACTACTTATGTAGGATTTACATTGTGTGAGGCATTATAAATAGTCTAGAGATGACTTAAAATCTATGCAAGGATTTGCATAGGTCATATGCAAATACTGTACCATTTTATATATAAAAGACTTGAGCATCTTTGGCTTTGATATCCCAGGGGGATCCTAGGACCAATCCCCCTGGATACTGAATGAAGGACCACTGTACTATTGATTATCCCCCTTAATGCATATGGAAAATCTGAGGCACAGACAATATTGGACAATCTCAGGTTTCAAGTTCTACATTCTGGATTAACAGTTGTGTGATGGTCCTGAACAAGCTGCTATACCTCAAAGCCTCACTTTTATTATCTATAATTAGGGATAATGTTTTCTCTAATTCAGGTTGCTTTGGAGGTTAAATGCAAATACAAAGAAAACTATTGCCACAGTCTGGCTGGGCACAAATGCCGCAGTCTGGCTGGGCACACAATCACGAGCCACCACACAGCTTGTAGATTCAAACAGCAACTCTTTATTCCCGAACTCACACCAGCCGTCTACAATCACGTTCTGGGGAAATCCACGTTCTCTGCCCAAATTCACCTCCACTGGGCTTCTGTCTCCCAAAATATACTGTCTGAATCCCGTGAGAACTCAAGGGGAACTCAGGCAGCAGGATACGCCCTATTCCCAGGAGGAATAATCTTAAACCTTAAACCTGGAACCTAAACTGGGAACGCCCTAAACACGATTATCTTAAACCCGGAACACCCTAATCCGCCCTGGTCCTTGAGCAAGGTCACCTACATTCAATGTCACTGCAACATGGGGTACGCTGGCAAGGAAATTGTCATACCTACTTACTTGGCTAATGGCTCCCAGCAAACTATGAGCACAATGCAAATAATAAATGATAAGTGTTGGTCATTTATGCATTAATATTATGTTAAATCAATTTGGATTTATATAAATGAGACAGTTATCCATATTTTAGGTAATCCTCTATGCTTAATCCTTTGATTTGAGGAATAATCAACCAGAAGATTATAATCATGTCAATAATATATGCAATTAGCTCAAACCTCCACATCTCTGTTGACTTATCTCCTGAGGACTTTGCCCTGAGGCCTGTGATCTTTAAAAACATTAATCTCTTCCCATCACAGATGTGTGTTCAGCTCTCCTTCACTGAATCCTCATTACTCTTAGGATAAGTGCCCAGAGTGGGTCATAGGAGCCTTTACCCTCTTTCACTTTGAATGCTTCTTAAAGCAGGCTCTCTGCTGGTCAGCTAGACTGGACATCTTTCAGATTTTTAAAGGCCTATGTGTGTTACTATGCAGGGACTATTTTCTGGAATGTTCTGTGCCTTTGACCTATTCAACTGCTGTGAGTCTTCTGGATCTTAGCTGAGAGGGGATCCCTCAGGGAGAATCCACCTACACTTCCATTTCCCATCTCAATAACTACCTTCTGCATATAGAGTCATAAAACCCTGGCCCCTTACTTCAAAGCATTTGTTTCCAATTCCAGCTAGAAAGTCTTACTGGTACTAGAGCACTCTAGAATAGGGTACATATAAAATTGTATCTCCCATTAGGCAAGAGGGACAAGGATTGCCTCTGTGTTTCCCATTGTGAATCCTAGGGCTCAACACTTTTGAAAAATGTTGTAAGATACAAATGACATCATGGAACTCACTTTTCTCCTCAGAATCCTCCAATGCCTGCTGATCACAGGGGGAAGAAAATAGCAGCTCCTGACCATGCCTCCCCACCTTGTCTGCAGATGAACTGTTTCCTATTGTTCTACTGAGGGCCACTGCTGTTCATCCTCTCTTAGGGCCTTCTGTTCACAAGCATGACACATTCATTCCCCAAGTCTGGGTTTATCTTTGCTTTTCCTTCCTCTTGGGTGATTTCTTACCAGATCTTAATATAAAACTTTTCCCTTGTTATCTTTAGATTCCAAAATAAATTAGATCTATCTAAAGTAGCTTCCTCTGCTGCCATCTCCCCCATATTTTCTCCATGACACCAAAAGGAAATCTTTTTGTTTTTTTATCTCCCAGAAGTTGACCCCCCAAAAGAGATGGTTTCCCCATGGGTAGCTGAATCACCTCAATTCTATAACAGAGTTTGTGACAAATTTATTACCTTTGAGTATCTCTTCACTGTAGAAGGAATAGTTTATAAAATCTTAATTTAAAAACACTATTATGAGGTTCATTCGGTTGTTAGCTTCCATTTTTAAGTTGATTCAGTAATTTTATTTATTCATTTATTTTTCTGGTGTTAGAACTGAACCCAGGGCCTCGTGCCTGCTAGACAAGTGCTCTACCACTGATCTACGCCCCCAGCCCATTAGCCTTAATGTTTTGGTATGTGAATTTTGTCAGAATAAATGTCCTGTTCTGAGTATTCAATTTTATATGACTTTTAATGATAAAACATAGTGGAACATAATCTTTAGAAAGTATATCGTAATCTTTGAAATTCCTGCTCTGTAAATAAGCTTATAAAACTTCATGGTAATCACACATTCAGAGAATATAGAGTATATGCCTACTAAATGTCTTTTTCTACTGTTTATTAACTACTCCAAAGAATTTTGCCTCTCACAATGTTTGCCTTCCTTATTTCCAGAGAGCACATTGGTTGTTATAATGTGAAATTTAAATTTCTAAACTAAATATCATAATGGGGTTTATTGATTTTTTTTTAAATAAATGGAGACTTTATTAATGAATACAGTGTGGACTAAAACTCCAAGCACACTGTTAATCCAGGTAAGTATCTGGAATGTGCTAGAAGGATGCATACCTTTACCTCTGTACCTGGATTTCTCAACAGTGGCATGGAAATATTTGGGGCTTGGAAGTTCTTGGTTTCCAGGAGACTGTTCTGGGTACTTTAGGATATTGAGCAGCAGCCCTGCCTTCTACCCACCGGTCACCAGTATCATGCTTGTGACAAAAAAAAAAAAAAAAAAATCTCCAAATCTTCCCAAACATCCCTCAGGGAAAGAGAGAGAGAGAAGAAAAAAAAACTACACTCCAGGTCTATAGTCACAGGAGCTATCCTTTGTTAGAATTCCAGAGTTTCTTTGTTCTTTAGGTGCTTTGGTTCTTGAAATGCCCAGGACTTTAGTTTAGATCTTCTGCAATGCCTTTTCTCCTGTCCTTGAAGGCCTGCCAGGATGTTTATGTCATTGGCTCTAGGTCATAGTTTATTTTATTTCACTTTCTCACGTGTTCAAGTTTTTATTTTTTTTTTCTTTCCATCTAAGTTTTGAATGCTGAAAGCAGGGCAGCCGACTAGCTCTTATTTCAACCCACTACCCTCAAAAGAGAGTAGATCTGAAACCACAGATAATTGCAATGAAAAACCTGAAAGATTAAAAGAAAAATTTAAACCTCATTGATACTAGATTTCTGAATTTAGAGGTCAGATCATAGATAGCTGGGGTAATTGTAAGTGGGTTGATGGTTCCAGTTTTCTGTGCAGATACATATTATTTCAATGACTCTTGTTTTAGGACCTCCAGGACACAGTGGCTACCCAGGAATGCAGCCTGGCTACCCAGGACCACCCCAGGGTGCCTATCTAGGTCCCCAGGCTGGCTACCCAATCCCACCACCCAACTATACAGGTGCTGGCCCAGTCGGCTTCCCTGTCCAAAACCAACCAGGTGGGCCTGTAGGGACACCATGGATGCCTGCACCGCCCCCTCCACTAGACTGCCCACCTGGATTGGAATATTTAACTCAGGTAATTTCAGATACATAAAATACTCGTGAAAGACAAACCTGTGCTTCCAACTTACATAACGAGGGTAACAAATGAATATTTCACCAAATTCGAAAATGGTAAAACATTTTCTGCTGACAGATGACTGATTCCTCTCATTGAAGTTCACTTTTTAATCAAAGCACAAAGGTCTGGGTAATTGTGTTTTTTGTGACCTTGAATTAAACCTGTGATATGAGCCAATAGCAAATTTTTTAAGCACTATTTTCTAGTATTCATCCTAAGCATAATACATGTGTTGTCTTACTCTTTATAGAGAATCTATAACATTCTATAATTAACAGCATTTTTTTCAGGAGGGGAGAGTGAGATAAGAGTCACACACATTGCCCAGGGTCAAACCCCCATGGCAGTGAGATTGGCTGTATAACCTGGACTTTGGTACTGAACACAGTGCTTTTCTTTCAACACTACATAGTTTCTTTGGATTAAAAGAAAAGAAGAACTTTAAATAAGTTTATTGCCAAGTTTTAATAAATGGCACCAAACAAAGAGTTAAAATTTTGTGTATGACTCATCTTTTTATATCCAATAAAACTACATATTTATGATGATACTTTTGTTCTTTGGAAGGCCCAGTTTTATAAATGCCACCAATAAGGAAGAGAAAAAGAAAAAGGCCAGGATTTTACTGTCCTACATGATATGAATTTCAGCAATATGAAGTTGAACATAGTTTAATGTGAGACATAAGCTGGGTGAAATAGGAACATCAAGGGCTGAGTGTTCAGTGTCTATACACTTGAGAACCAGTATTCTTACCATGTCTAGCCACTGCTCAGTAAGTCAGGGGTCCCTCAGACTCACACTGTAATAATTTAATTTTTTGTAATGTTTTCAAGCAGCACATATCATAGGAATTTTTTGGTCATTGTCATATTTTTTCAAAAAATTCTGAAACACATATTTTAAAAATCAGGATCTCATAAAATACATAGATGAAATTATTAGTGACTACAACTGATGATATCACACTTACAATTTTTGAAACTTGACAGATAATTTTTTAAATGATTAAAAAATTATCCATACCTCTCTTGAGCTTCTTCCTCAAAAAACTATATATTTTTGTTGTTTTTAATTTCAGTGTAAGACAGTTTTATTTGGTCTAAAGTTTCCCAGATTAATGGTGAAAATTTTCAACAAATATTTCACCAATAAAAAATGTTAACTTTAGTTTTATACTACCCAGTAATGTAAACTGTTGATAACATTAAATTTTGACAATTGTCTATGTGAATTTTCTTTTTCCTTTAACAGATAGATCAGATTCTGGTTCATCAGCAAGTTGAGCTTCTGGAAGGTGTGTATTCATTATATCCATCATATTTCTAGATTTATGCAGATAAAAGCATTATCAGTCACTGCAAAGGTAGTACTCTTAATCACGTGAAACAGTTAAACAGGTTATTTTTAAATGTCTGTTTGAAATTTTATCATAATTCATCATGTACATTATCAGCAATTCATTTGTGAAAATTAGTCCAATGGTAAATATGAGTATAGTGGGTATATATCCTTATGATATAGATATTAGATACGAATATTACAAGGAAACTATCAAGACTTACTTTTACTTCTCTCTCTTTTCAAATCACTAAAAGTTTTTTTAGCATTTTACTGGACTTTTACCACTTGAGCACTTTTCTCCCAACTTGAGATCACCTTGAGAAGGGGAAAGAGTCAATTCAGCTGCCTTAATACATCTCCAAAGCAAGTGATCTCTGGATTCAGAGGCGGATGATTTTGCTACTGGATATTAAACCCAGGTGCATTTTACCTCTGAACTATATCTCCATTCTCCCTGTTACAGATTTTTTTCTTCTTTATTTTGAGACAGGGTCTCACCAAATTGCTGAGATTCTCACTAAGTTGCTGAAGCTGGTCTCAAATTTGAGGTCCTCCTGCCTCAGTCTCCCAAATTGTTGAGATTACAAGTATGTGCCACCACACTCTGCAAGATGGGGATGTTTTAGAAAATTATCATTCATGCCCACGGTTTCTCTTGGGAAATCAGACGAACCCTGTGGAATGTGCATTCCGTGATCTGCGTGGTATTTCCTGGGGTGCAGGGTCACTGGGGCACTGCTGGTCTGGAGGCCTCTTCTGCAAGAGTATTGCTGCTCCAGAGTGGGCCTCCAGATGCTTCCAAAGGTCCAGGGCTTCCAGATGCAGTAATAAACTTGGGAAGTCACTAGATCCTTCAGGGAAGCTACTAGGGAATGACACTCAGGGAGATATAGGAACCATTATTCCAGAAACCAGAGAATAATAGAAACTCGGCATATTTGTAGAATACATCTGTTAAACCCCATCTTTTGCAAAGTTCCTTTCCAAGGGTGAATATAAACTGTGTAAGCAGGGTAATGGATTTTATGAAATTACACAGTTGTCACCTATGACATTTAAGGTATTAATAATGTCAATTATTAGATGTTTGTATTATTCATCATTTTGATTAGTTTCTTTTAATATTACTCTAAAAGGGAGTTCTTTTTTTTCTCTCTTGCACCAGGGATTGAACTCAGTGGCACTTAACCACAAAGCCACATCCTAGGCCTATTTTGTATTTTATTTAGAGATAAGATCTCACTGAGTTGCTTAGTACCTCGGTTTTGCTGAGGCTGGCTTGGAACTTACAATCCTCCTGCCTCAACCTCCTGAGCCACTGGGATTACAGGCATGTGCCACCATGCCAGGCCCCTAAAAGGGAGTCCTTTATTGTTTTAAATTTTGAAAATATTTTATTCTGTGGTATATGTCATTTAAGTTATAAAATCCTCATAGCCAGACACCATATGTTCCATAGCATATAAACTTATCTCTTTTTAGATTTATAAGCATTTTAAATATTTGAGAATATGTTTTATAGCTTCATCTTGAAATATAATTTTTAAATTTACTAGTATTTAATTCTTCAGTTTAGGACAGTGTCAGCACTGGTTAAGCACCACTGGGTTCAATCCCCAGTCCCCCCAAAAAAAATTTTTTAAAAAGGTAGTCCTTAATTTTCTCTTTCTCTCGCTCTCTCTCTCTCTCTTTTTTTTTTTTTTTTGCCCAATGTGTAAAGTCAATGATATTTTTTTCATATTATGAGTTATGTGAATAATATGATTTCTCAATTTCTGTCAGCAAATTAGGCACTCACATTTTTCCTCAATTCAAAACTTATCAGAAAGGAAACACAAAAACATGAAATTATTTTGTTTTATTTTCATCTTTTTAAGGAAAATCATAGATTATATAAACCCATGCTATTCAACAAATAAAGAAGTTGAAGATTTCTGAGATTAAGGTATTAATGAAGCAATTAGTGAAAAATAAATGTCCTCTCAAAGCCACTGTAACTTTTTTCCTCTCTAAATATTTGGCTACAGCAGATGGGCGGGACTCTGAATCCCACCAAAGACACCTGAGGAAGTTCGTGTTGATAGGACTTTTGACTGATGTCTCTCTATCCTCATGAAGTCCTTCCATGCAGACATGAGAGAGTTGTTTGGGCCTCCATGTATTTCTTTTAATCACTTGTTGTTTTGTCAGTCTTCTGACATACTGTGACCCAAGAATTCTAGGGCTGTGGACAAGGGAATATTAACTACTCCTTCTTGGCTCTGTAAAAACAGAGGTTTCCAGTGTGTGGATCAATATGAGGGGGGCATTGGTGAGATGCTATATCCCTCTGTTTTCCCTCATGAAGGGTTTAGCACCCTAAAGGTGTAGAGCTCACTTTGGATGCCCATGGTCTAAAGAGTCTATGAGTTTGAGCCCTGGTTACCAGGCCCCTCCCCACTTGTCCAATACCCAGCTTCACCTGATGAATAACAACTGCTGAGCTAACAAGGTGCACTGGCCCCGCGTGATGTTCTGATTCACATTCTTTTCCCACTCTGTCCTTTTGTACATGATTGCATCAAGATCACCCCTCTCGTTCCTTTTGCTCAAAGTGTAAAAGCTAAGACCTAGTATCATTTATAACACAAAATCTTAACCCAATGGATTTAATAAAGTAGTTCATAGAATACAAACACAGCAAACATCCTATAACCCCTCCATAATACTTGAGTACTGAGCCCCCCTGTGCCCACCTCCAGCACTGCACCCACCCTGAGCAGCAGAGCCTCCCATTATGACAGAACCTATGGCATTTGCTAACACCACTTATTTCCATTACCCCATCCCTCCTAAAGATTCAGTTTTTCTTATTTAAGATACTTCCTTCCTCCTCCTTTTGCCTTGTTTTCTTTTATTGGTCTGGTTCACTGCTAAACATCTTTTCCGTCTTTCCTGAACTACCTGGGATATCTTCCCAAATTGCTCTAGCTGGATATGATAACATCTTAGGTAGAGTCCACATTCTTAACACAATGATGATTATGATTTCCTCCTTTGTGTTTTTAGTCTTAACAGGCTTTGAAACTAATAACAAGTATGAAATCAAGAACAGTCTTGGACAGAGGGTGTACTTCGCAGTGGAAGAAAATGACTGCTGTACCCGAAATTGCTTTGGACCCGCTAGACCTTTCACCTTGAAGGTTCTTGACAATTTGGGCCTAGAAGTCATAACCCTGCATAGACCACTGGCATGTAGCAGCTGCTGTTGCCCCTGCTGCCTTCAGGAGGTCCGTGTGCCATAGCCAGGGCAGTCTGTGAAGAGTTCAGCAAGCATTTTCACCCTTTCATTCAACCTGGACGTTAAGATGGTTATCACATTTTATATATTCTTTTGCTTTTGTAGATAGAAGTACAAGCTCCTCCTGGGATACCCATAGGTTACGTTATTCAGAACTGGCACCCGTGTCTGCCCAAGTTTACAATTCAGAACGAGAAGAGAGAGGATGTACTGAAAATTACCGGTCCCTGTGTTGTGTGCAGTTGTTGTTCAGATGTTGATTTTGAGGTAAGAATAGTCATAATGTTTATAAGACTTGCTTTCCTAACATAAGAAGATAATTTTATTATCATAAACACATGGAATAAGTATTGTGCTCTGATACCTCAAAAGAGAGGTAATGTGCTCACGTATCTAACTTCAGTCTGAGTGATGGTCACTACTCTAGAGGTCAGTATCGATCATACTCAATAGGGAAAAAAAAAGAAGCAGCAGCAGAGATGTGTAGTCAAATAAAAACAAGCAAAATGTGTAGTACTTAAACATGGTAGTTTCTGAATAGTGACACCGTGTGTTATCTGCTTTATTTATTTATTTTTTAAATATGGCATTTTTTTTTAGAGAGAGAAAGAGAATTTTAATATTTATTTTTTAGTTTTCGGCGGACACAACACCTTTGTTTGTATGTGGTGCTGAAGATCGAACCCGGGCCGCATACATGCCAGACGAGCGTGCTACCGCTTGAGCCACATCCCCAGCCCATCTGCTTTAAACAGAATGCTAAGCCTTATCATCTAGGTCTGATTGCCTGACACCCCAGAGCCCTCCTCGTCTGTGTTACAGGCCATGAATGTTCTAGGTCATGTTGACAAGGCCATGTTGACGTTTTTGAGTTCTTAGAAAGAGCCCAGTTGCATAGAGATAGTTTTAATAAAGTTGCTACCAATGATTCCTTTTTTCTAGTTTCAATTTCTATAGTTTCAGTTTTCCACAGTGAATTGTGGCCTGACAATATTAAATTAAACTTTCCAGAAATATGCAGTTTCTAAATTTTTACTTGCGTGCCATTTGGAGTAGTGTGATGAAATCTCAAGCCACAATCCTCTGGTCCAGCTGGACATGAGACACCCTCTTCCAGGGCACTCTCACTGGATAAGAGTGCCACTAGTAACTGACCCATTAGTTGGTTACCAGGGCAGCTAGCTACTCCCACAGTTTGAGTTCACGTAACCCTTGCATAGTACACTAATTGTATGTCATGGTGCCTCTGTCACTTAGGGAACTTCATCTGGTCACACAGACATTGTCTCATCTTATGTCACTACAAGACAGATCAGAACAGGATAATAAGATATTTTGAGTGAGAAAGAGGGAAACCATATTCACATAATTTTCATTATACTATATAGCTATATTTTTCTATTTTATTATTAGTAATCATTACTAATCTCTTAACTGTGCCCAATTTACAAATGAAAGTTTATCGTAGGTATGGCATTTTATAAGAAAAAACAGTACACATAGCATGTATTACTCTCTGTGGTTTCAGGCTCTGTTGGGGGTCCTGGCATGCAAGACTCACAGATCAGGAGAGATTACTGTATAATACATACTGCCCAAATTGTGCTGCTCTGGGATCTCTGATTTATCCCTGTACAAATTAGGGCTTTGGAACTATAATATATTCAAGTATTTACTACATGGGAGAATTTCCTTACGACAGTTCTCAACTTATAATCCAATTCTTTTGGTTGCAAAAATGCTTAAATATGGGGACATTTTATAATTTATCCTTGATTTCTTGTTTCTTCTAGAAAATCAGAAAGTATGATAAACTGGATCCCACCTTTCTAGAGAATGGGCTAAACTATCCTAAAGCTGAATAGGGGCTACTCACAATGTCATGTGGGAAATCTGGTATTCTCCCCACATCTTCCTAAGGTTTCTCACCATCCAGCTTTATTCTATTATCTGTTTTCCTTCTCTATCCATATGGATTTCAATTCCTCTGTTAGAATCTGGTTATATGTGGTGAATCCGTTCTCTCATAGACTTCACAGTCTAACAACGCAGATGGTGAACTCTTAAGAAAATACATGTGATGTAGAAACTTTTAAAAGGAAGTTGTAAAGGAATTTGTATAGTGTGTAGTGTGTGTGTGTGTGTGTGTGTGTGTGTATAAAAACTTCATATGGTGTATGGACAGTCATCATTCTGCATGCAGGAGATGACATGTCTATAACAGAGTCAGAGAAGAAAAACGATAATTGTTCCTTAAGGAGTGATATGAACAAATTTAGTTGGCATATATTTTATTTTGGGATATAAGTGGAAACACTGGAGAATCATTTTTAAATTCTTATATTGAATGCTAAGAGAGACTACATCCAGCATTCATTTTCTGGGGATTTCTTAAAGCAACCATTATTTGTAATGAATTGACTTCTCCCCTACGCATCTAGAATAATAATATCTAGGTACCATCTCTGACAGAATTGAGAAGCATTCACTTGATTCATTGTCTAGAGGGTTTATAATGTGAAGGTTGATATTTTAATATATTTTTTAGTCATCAGTGGACCTTTATTGAGTTGTCAATGGACCTTTATTTTATTTATTTAGATGAGAATTTATTTATTTATGCTGAGAATCAAATCAGTGCCTCACATGCTAGGCAAGTGCTCTATCACTGAGCCACAACCTAGCCCCTTTGAGTGAAAGAGGTTATGAATAGCTTGATCGACAGCAGGAGTGAGAGTCACTTTAAAGACTGATTCCAAAGATACATTTCCCAGGTACACTGAGGGTGGCTGATTTCATGCCTTTGATGTCCATGAAGGGTGAAAAAAAATTTAGAGATGATTCTGATGTTATCATTCTGATGTCAGATGTTTGAGAAGTCTAATGAATAATGATACCATTGACCAAGTTAAAAATCATGTAGTTGGGGGTAGACTGTTGATTTGTTGGAAGCTAATCTTTTATATTTAGGTCATGTTGGATCTTGCTTATGTAGAGGAAAGAGTTGGGAGTTTTCACCATGCAGATGGTAGTTGAGTCTGAGAGACTATTATCTCAAGGATGAGTAGGAGAGCCAAGTGGACCATCTGTCCATGTAGATGAGAGTGTTACTCCTTCAAAGATTCTTGGTAGGGGAAAAATATGCCCACATGAAACGCATCCCACTCCAGTCTTGTTTGTTTGAAGTCTGAATTCATAATATTGTTGTTATGAGGGTGAAATTGCTTAATAATTGTTATGTCTTCATATCAAGAATATCCCAAATGTTATATAAATTCTTCATTTGAAAATCTTATCAGCAACCATTTTTATATGTCATAATTTATTACATTTTATGCCCTTGATACATACTCAGTTACTATGTGTAATATTACAATTCAGATTTTTTAATTTATATTTCATATGAGTCTAAGGTTTCCCTTTTATAATATTATTCACCAATTATTTGTATTCAATTTATGCATTTTAAATTTTTATAATAACATAATATTAATTTTTTATTTCCAGAGGTTAAAATTTTATTATATGTTACCTAAAATTTGCTACAATTTTTTCTTGTCCTGAAAACTCTTTTTTTTTGGTGGTGCTGGGGATTGAACCCAAGGCCTTGTGCATGCAAGGCAAGCACTCTACCAACTGAGCTATATCCCCATCCCCCAAGTCCTGAAAACTCTTTAGCTAGAGATTATTATTCACATTTTCAATTCATGCCAAATAAAAATGGACATTTTCTACTTCTGACATAAATTCTGTTTAATTTGTAATTTTTGCTGTAGTAATCAAAAATGGTAAGTGGCAATATCTTTATCAATGTAGTGTTGAGATTATGATGGCTGCCAAGTTATGAAGTTTCATTTTTCATTTTAAAAAATATTTCAAAATTGAAAGATAGAATAAAGTTTTCAAATGCTTAAATGGTAGTATTGCAAATAAAATACTAACAGGTATAAGCCAGGATTTGTATTGGCTTTGTTTATCATGACATTGTCTCATCTCACCTAACTACTAAAATTCAGTGGCTTAAAACCAGAAGCATTTTTTCTTATGCCTATGTCTGGAGGTCAAGTGTACTTCAATGGATATAGCTAGGTTCAGATGGACAGTTCAGACTTAATTTGCAAATTGGTCTAGATTCTGTTCATATATGTGTGTTGTAGGGCTGTAACCACAGCAGCAAGTGGGATGAGGTTTTCTAATAGGTTTCCACTGCAGAGCAAGAGCCAGGTCAGACCAGGTAGCCATGTTGAAGAACACTATTCATGTCACCTGCAAACACCTTGGTCAAGCAGTCACATAGCCACCCGCTCCTGCTCAGTCATGCACAGGAAGAATCCTGGGCCTACACAGGAAGTAAAATGAAATGAATATTCAAGGAACAATAATCCAGGCTATTGCAATTTCATATCAGAAGTGTACTTCAGATTTTTTAAGATGCCATCTACCTCCACCCAAATGAAATGGGCCAACATTTTGTATTCTACCCAGATTTGTTTAGTAGGTCCCAGCCTGCAACAGGGGCCTCAGGGTATGTTGCTAGCACTTGTGGTACCTTGTGCACATTTGAGAAGGACTCACTTCCTCTTTGTTTAACAGAATCCTAGATGTACATGGCCAGACAAGTGTCAGTGGTGTTCAGTCCCCACCTGTCTACCTGAGTGGCATTAATCCGGGCACAGTCTGCTCAATTCTGTGATGGCCCTGGGCTTTCCTCTGATGGAGCTGCAAAAGCAGATGCTTTAGACATTACTGTTTACATCCCCCAAGTCGTGCCTTTATCCCACCCTGGGACAGCCCATAAAAAGTTACACATTGGTCAGTTCCTTCACTCAAACAGCCAGTCTTTTCTAGGTATGTCCTGTTTCTCTACTCACCATGCCTGGTAATGAGTCCTCTGTCATATTTCTTAAAGCAGAAATCTGATAAGAGGGGTTTTTTTCTTTTAAATTATCTTCCTCATGGCTTATAGAAATGTTATCACATTTTTAATACCTTTCTGCTTAAATTTTGTTTTGGATCAACTCAAATAACTTATTATAATCTGTATTAATGCAAAATAGGAATATTAGATATTTCAGCAAACTACATTTATTAATTCTTTTTCTGTGCAATAAAACATTTTTTTTTTCACATATCCATAAATAGACACAGGAGCCTGCAAGTATCTAATGAGGGCTGCACATTCATAGTTATATATGGGCAGAATTTTAACACACTACTTGTGTCATTTTATAGCTTTGCTGTAAATTTTCTAAAAATCACTAAGTCTTTATTTATTTTTTTTTTCAATGCAGATTAAATCTCTTGATGAAGAATCTCTGGTTGGCAAGATTTCCAAGCACTGGACTGGGTTTTTGAGAGAGGCATTTACTGACGCTGATAATTTTGGGATTCAGTTCCCTCTAGACCTTGATGTGAAAATGAAGGCTGTGATGCTTGGAGCCTGCTTCCTCATCGTGAGTGTCTTCCTACTGATCCTGGTTACAGAGGGTCTCTCTAGTACCATTTTGAAAGGTTCAGTAAACTATGTATTCCAAAATGACCTTCTACAAAGATTCCCATTTCACCCAAGGTTCAAAATTCTATTTGAATCTGACACTTTGGATACACAGGGGACTAGTTTCTGTCTGAAGGGTCTATGCATTTTCAGAAGACAAGAGAGGACTTTTATGTATCGTGCTGAGGGTCTTTGACTTGGAGTTTTTTGTTTCAAAACACACAATTAGTGCTTTGGGGAAGATGTTAACATTTAAGGGGGAGGAATCTATGTTGAACAGGGAAACTTTATCTTGACTCATTTGTAAATTAAAATTAAATCATAAGATAGGAGTATAAATAGCGACAAAAGTAAACACTACAATGTAGCTTCTGGATCCAACTACCAATTTATCAGAAATACATGGGATAGAGCAGTGCTTCTAAACCTTTTGAAATCCAAGTACCAGGCCATACCTCAATTCAACCAAGTCAAATGTGCGGAATCAAAAATGTGTGTAGATGACTTCAAAATGACCCAAGTTAAGGATTATGGAGACAGAGGAATTATTCTTCACTTCAGCTGTACACTAGAAATACCTAAGTATCTTTCAAACTCCCCATGTTCAGATTCCTCCTAAATCTGTTTGAACTGAAATCTCTTTAATCTATTTACAGCTCTGAGATGATTACTTTGTGGCCAAAGTTTGAAACACTATATGCTTATCTTAAACATTGACCTGGGGATGAAATCTTTCAGAAAAAAGTAAGAAAATGTACAGCAAAAGGGACCCATTTCCAAGCCTGGCATGGTGGTGCACACCTATAATCCTAGCATCTTGGATGGCTGAGGCAGGAAAATTGCCAATCTCAGCAATTTATCCAGGTCCTAAGCAACTTAGCAAGACCCTGTCTCTAAATAAAATACAGAAGTGGCTGGGGATGTGGTTCGGTAGTTAAGTGCCCTTGGGTTCAACTTCTATTACCAAACAACAACAAAACAAAGGACCTCAATTCCTTTGATAAATAGGCATTGAAGTAAGTAAAAACGATAAAATAAAGCAAATGGCTTAAGAGCCACCAACCTAGTATAGTTTATAGATCATGTTTAGATATCAATCCAAACAAACCTATACAAAAAGGCATTGGTAAGACATCAGGGAAATTTGAACATTGGCTGGCTACTTAATGATAGGAAGGAATTATCAAGGTGTTTTAGATATGATGATGATAATATATAAAAACAGATTTCATATATTTTAGAGAGGAATAATGAAGTGTTCCATCATGAAATGTTTGATATCATAATTTTGTTTTGAAATAACAGGTGTGAGGACAAAAGAATTTAGAGGACAGAGTAATAGATGGAAGTAAAATTGGTCATATTAATCATTGTTGAAGCTGGATTAGCAGTTGCTGGGGCTTTTTTTATTATTTCTATTATTTCTAAAGTATTTACTACTTCCTATAATAAAGCTTAGGTGGAAATTGTATGTTCAATAAGTGAAAAAAAAAAGTTGTGTTCTTTAGTAAGTGTTCTTTCTCCCTAAAATGTACATTTAACCTTAACCTTAAGGAAACTGTTTAACCAAAGCAGAGAGTATGAAAGGTATGGTGTTCAGGGTAAGAAAGAAAGCTGAGACTGTTTAAATTGATGGGAAATGGGGCTGGAAGTGGTATGGTAGAGGATTATTAGGAAATTTCTGTGGTCTATTGCTAAAGAAACTTAAGATATAGTTAAAAATGAATAAGTCCTAGTGTATTACTAAGGACTAGACATAGCAATAACATGCTGCATATTTCAAGAAAGCTAGAAAAAAAGGGATTTAGAATGTTTTCACCACACAAAAAAAATGCTCATTGTTTAAGGAAGTAGCTATGTATAACCTGACATGACCCCATGTATAGGTCTCTTGAAAAGTAGAACCCATAAATGTAGTTTCTATGTGTCCATTTAAATTTTTTTTATAAAGAACTTCTAAAGATTGAGCAATTTTTCAAAGATACAGATTGATTCATTGAAAATTATGTAATTAATGGTTGTTTTAAAATGAGGCATAATAAAATAGTTATAAATTCAACCTTTAGAAAGATAAATGCTGGTGCCCATATGGAAAAGGGATTGAAAGGAGATAAAATTGCAATATTGTAAAGCCAGTGATTTTTTTTTAATATTGTAAAGCCAGTGATTTTTTTTTAATATTTATTTTTTAGTTGTAGTTGTTCACAACACCTTTATTTCATTGTTTATTTTTGTACATGGTGCTGAGGATCGAACCCAGGGTTTCGCACGTGCGAGGCGAGCGCTCTACCTCTGAGCCACAACCCCAGCCCAAAAGCCAATGATTTGTAGGAATGGTTAATAATCACCTCTGCCAGGATAAAGGAAAAGAATAGGTACTTGAGAAATAAAATCCATAGAATTTGACTGAAGTTGAAGAAGAAAGGGTTTAGCTGGAAATACTTGTTTCTCGGAATGAAATAAGCTGGGGGACACAGGTTTGATTAACCTGGGAAACCAACTTCCATCTGTAGTACATTCTAAGGTGGTTCTCATTATGCCCCGCAAATCTGACAGGGTGCATGTCTCTACAGAAGTTACCTTACTAGAGAAGGACTACGAAAATCTAAGGAAGACAGATTGAAAGATAAAGATTTCAAAAGGGATGACAGAAGTAGAAATTAGAGAATTAACAGATTGATTAAGTACATATAGGTATTAATAAACAAGGCTCTGGGGCTGTAGCTCAGTGGTAGAGTGCTTGCCTAGCATATATGAGGCACTGGGTTTGATCCTCAGCACCACATAAAAAATAAATGAATGAATGAATAAATAAATGAAGGTATTGTGTCTGTCTGCAACAAACAAACAAACAAACAAATAAATAAATAAATGTAGTTTGATTGCTGTGGGGATGGAAAGGTGAAAGTGGACCTTACACAGTTGCAGACTTTTCCCTGATTCACTTATGACACTTAGTTTTTCTTGTTTGACAGATGTGTTACTGTGTGTGGTCATATCTTGAGCTTGCTTATCTGAAAATTTATCTCGGCTTTTTTGCCGAAAATTCATTTCCATATTTTTGCTCCTTTACAGGACTTCATGTTTTTTGAAAGAAATCAGGAATGAAAATGAGAAGTGTGGTGTACTAATGAAAGTATCCTCAGAAAATTGGGGGACTGCATATTGATTGAGGCTACTAAAAGGAAAATTCAGTGTTTTTTTTTTTTTTTCATTATTAAAAGTGCTCACATGTGTATGAATAAAACTGTGATGCCTACAAGTTCAGTTGTATGGTTTTGCTTCTTAAAGAAATGGTTTTCTGAATCATTGGCTTACATATGTATATTTTTATATATTTTAATATTCACTGTGAATTTCAGAAAAAGTACATAGCATATTTTATATTTTGAAATGAAGCTTCATATTGAAAACTGCTTTGAGTTATAATCTCTCATTTGCTTTTTGTTTTGTAACAAAATTAAAGCCTTAAAGTAACTTTAATATAAAATTATAGATTATTCTATTACATTTAGTTACAATTTATTTCATAAAACACCTAATGTTATTTTGCAAATAGTATCTATTCAAATTGTTTTATGTATAATTATAATGTACCAATAAATTTTTCTTTAAGTTAAAAATAAGTTTCTGCTTTCTTTGCCACTACAGTCAAGTACAACTCAATATGGATATTATTTAGGAAGCATAGATGAGGATTTTGTTCTCTAGGGAATCACAGTATGTTTAAATGTTCCTGCTAACCATACTTCTGTTAAAAGAATAATTTTCACACTGACAAGACAATAAATTATCAATTTTAAATGTTTTCAATGAGAAAATTAGGACATAATTCTGTGCCAGAGAAAGATTAATTTTTTTACTCACCCACTCTAAACTTTGCTATTGGTATAATTTTAGAAGTGATTATTTATACATGAAATGTTTAGCTCCCCTGTATTCTAACAATTCCAAACCGTGGTAAGAATGAGATTAATCAGCTGTTAATTAAACAGAACAAAAACTCTTGTTCACAGGTTAATGGACTACAACAATAGTCAATCATATTATCTTTAAAAATAATCAAACATATGACATAGAAACTCATTGTTGTATTTTTGCGTTATGATTTTATTTTTTAAACAAAATGTGGTCCCTGGACTCAGGTGGCACTCTGAGTTCATCTAACCCAGTAGACGAGTCCCCCTCATTCCACTTCCTCTTCAAACTCTCTCTTCTCAAGAGCCAGGGCATGTGATGCCTTTTGGTAGGACCTGTACCAGGGCACAAGCTGGGCCTTCTGCCTGGCAGAAAGGGAAGGTGGGCTGCCATCTGCTGGGTGGGGAGCTTGCCTTGGGAAGGAGATGAACAGCCATGATTTGCCTCATGCACGCGCCAAAGGGCTCAGGAAATGAACCCTGGGAGATCCCCTTTTGTCCTAAGCAGAGCTCCACCAGTAGCCACTGTCCTCATCCCAAGCGTGAGCTCCAGCAGTGCTCCAGCAACCCCAGTAGCTCCACTGGAAATGAGGAGGACAGCAGGACAGGGACAGTACAGAAGAAGCAATGTCCAGGTGAGCTCCCAAAGCCTCTGCAGCTCACCAGAGGCCAGGCTCCAGGAATGAGCTGTAACCTTGACACTCCAGCTTGTGCTGGGAAGGCAGCCTGCCAAGTGAAGGGGGGTGCCTGCATAGTGGGGTCCCTGGGTTATTGGTCATGCCAGTTGGAGAAGGGAGGCATCCCAAGGCAGCAGTCAGGTGCCAAAATCAACCTAAAACGAAGCTTAAAGGACCGACATTTTGGTGTCTTATTTCTTCCCCTCTCTCTTGGGTGGGATTCTGGATCTCTGATTAAGCAGAGGAAAACTACGACTGGTCTACAACACAGTTAATCCTTGCTTCATCTGTATAAGGAAGATTTCACAAACCCACACACCATCAGCAGACCCCATTAAGTTCATGTTCTAGGCATACGTCTTCTCATTTAATGTTCACAGAGAAAAATCATCAAACATGAAATATTAACAATTCAGTAAAGAAAAACAACAAGAATTGAAACAAATGCTTTAGTTTATAATCTCAGTGAGATTTGAGGCTTGTTACAGGTTTGTTTCTACTGAGGGGTGGGAGCAGTACAGGCGAGGTGGCCCAGAGTGAGGGAAGAGTAATTATGACTGCTGTGGATGGAAGCTGTGTTTTCAGTCCTGAGAAGGGAACTCTGCAGGAGGTCAGTGGTTATGGAACGATAGTGGAGCTGGAGGGAGAGGGGAAGGGCAAAGGGTGCCCCTGCCTGGGTTTAGCACCTCTGCAAGGAAAGGAAAGGCTGGAAAGGAGAAATACACCAGGGACAGGCAAGTAAATCATGCAGAAAATCGTCTGGTTTCTGGCATTCTATTAGTTAACTATTCTCTGCATCACAGGTATTAAGAATTTAACTGAGTTTGGGTAAAAATTATAAATGAAACATTGTAATTCAGGGCAAATTTAAGTACTCCTGGTGCTGCAAAGTTCCAGAGTTTATGGAACTATGCTTCTCTACATACCCTATCCAACTCCTGCCCTGTCCCTACCCACCCTGATGTGGCCTTCTGGCTTTCACAGGAGAATGTTTCTGCGCCTGACCCTCTTTCTGTGTCCTTCCGGTGTCTTCATTACCTTGATTGTCACTAGTCTAACATCAACATCCAGAGGTTGTTTATTCAGTAACCTAATTGCAGGCCCAGAAATATGACCAGTTTTCTGCAGCTGAACTATAACAGAAAATTTAAAAGAACGTGTGTGATAATGCTTAATACTTTTTAAAAACACAGGGAAGTGTTTCAAGCAAATAATAATTTTGGCTAAGTTGGATTCCTATATTGTGCTTGAATGGCATGTAAAATTCACTGTGGATTCAAAGATGAGTAATGAGTACTCAGCTCTGCAGAGAGGGGATGTCTTCCCTGAAGATGACACCCTGGGAGAGTCTCACCTCACAGAAGGGTGGAATGCCTTCTGGACAGAATGACATAGACTTTCCTTTCTCAGCCTCAAAACCTCAAACGTGACAAACCACGGAAGGTGGGGATCAAAAATCTGAATCGTGAGACAAGACTGAATAAAAATGGACTCTACGGAGCTTGAACTCAATTCTCTGGATCTGTAAGTAGGGACCCAAGGGGTGGTAATCCAGAGGTAACTGGTCAGATCGCCCTGACTTGCCTCCCTCACGTGCCCCATTCATGTAAATCTTTAATCTACTTTTAATGTTATATGGTTGAAAATGTGCTGTTCGTGCTCAAAGGTAGTTTAAAGTTTATCCAAGATGGAAGCTGATTAGATTTGAAAAACTCATGCTTAGAGTCTGCCTGACCACTAACGGCAGTTTGTCTTTGCCTGTGGGTTCTGGTTTTTTATCATCAACATAATGAGGTTATTCTGTCTGGCAGGGATAAGGACAAATAACGGCCCCATTTCTCTCTATGATAGAAGCTTCTTCTGAGAACAGGTTGCTAGGAAACATTTCAGCCTTAATCAAGCATTGTTCATAGAAAGCAATCATCTAGAAGAAATCCAGACCCCTTCTTACATAAGCTTTATAGACTAAGCGGGATCTTAGTCAATCAGGTACCTTATTTCTTGGTTCCTATTCCTTTAACAAAATAACTTTGACTCGGTAATTTGTAAAAACAGAAATTTATTTGTTACAATTTTTGAAAGCTGAAGTCCAAGGTCAAGTCACTAACAGTCTCAGTGCCATCAGGATGGCACCTGTTGCTATGTCCTCTAAAGGTGGAATGGATGGAAGGGCAAAATGGGCGTAACTAGTTCCCTAGAATACTTGTATGAGGGCACTAATCCCATTAAGGATGGTGGAGACCTTGAAATTTACCTCCTATATCCATTGTGATGGGTTTAGGATTTCAACACAGGAATTGCTGGGCAGGGGTGCATATTCCTTTAAACATTTGCAAGGAGTCCATGGCCTCCCAAAATTCATGTCTTTCTCACATACAAAATATATTTATTCCATGCCTATTATCCCCAGAGTCCTAAGTCATTCCAGCATCAACTTTAAAAATCTAAATGCAAACTTTAACTACATCTGAATCAGACATGGGTAAGCCTGAAGGTGTGACTCATCCTGGGACAAAATCCAGCTGAGAGATTGTAAAGTGAAATAAGTTACATGCTTCAAAAATATGATCCAGGAGCAAGCATAGGAAGACATTCCCATTCTAAAAGGGAGAGAAAATAAAATAGAGGAATAACAGCTCCCCAGTAAGTCCAAAACCCAACAAGGCAAGCTTTCAATATGGAGGCTTGAGATAAACTTCTTTGTCGTCATGTGCTGCCCTGGACACCCTGGGGCAGGGGACTGGGCCTCCAAGGCAACACTGTCCTCACAGATCTGCTGGAAGAATCCCATGCTGTAGCCAGCACAGATTTCAGTCTTTGAGCCTAGGGCTCTCACCAGTGGGAGTTCCATCATTCTGGGGTTTTTGGCGAAGCTTATTTCTCAGGGTTCCACTTCTCCATGGTAGTCTCAACCCTACAGCTCCACAGGGCATTGCCCGGGTGGGCGGCCTGTCCCCATGACTCCACAAGAAATTGCCTAATGGGGGCTCTCTCTGGTGGCCCTGCCCTGTTTCTGCTGTCTGCCTAGGCCCTGGGGATCTCCAAGGCATCATGTGAAATCGAAATGCAGAGAGCTAAGCAGTGTGCACCCCCATAGAGTCAGCACCACAGGAATGTAGCCAGTTATGTCTGTGCCTTGGACGCCCAAGCCACCCTTGGGCACATCTGAACACCAATGGGACAGCCAGAGGAGCATACCACAACGATTGGGGAACAGAGATTTGAGGTTGTAACAGCAGGTCCCAAATTCCCATGGACACCATTCCTGAAATTGTTCTGCCCTCAAAGACCTGGCACCCTGGGCCTGCATAGAAGCAGCAACCTCCAAGACCTCTGAAATGACTTCAGGGTCCCTCTCCCATCATCTTGGTGAAGGACCTTGTGGCTTCCTTCCAGAGCACTGTTCTTATCAGTCTGTAGGTTGTACCTTGGTGTTCTATCCAGTTACACACATTTGCATTTGCCACAGTCTGGGCACAAATGCCGCAGTCTGTCTGGGCACACAATCACGAGCCACCACACAGCTTGTAGATTCAAACAGCAACTCTTTATTCCCGAACTCACACCAGCCGTCTACAATCACGTTCTGGGGAAATCCACGTTCTCTGCCCAAATCCACGTTCTCTGCCCAAATCCACACCCACTGGGCTTCTGTCTCCCAAAATATACTGTCTGAATCCCGTGAGAACTCAAGGGGAACTCAGGTAGCAGGATACGCCCTATTCCCAGGAGGAATAATCTTAAACCTTAAACCTGGAACCTAAACTGGGAACGCCCTAAACACGATTATCTTAAACCCAGAACACCCTAATCCGCCCTGGTCCTTGAGCAAGGTCACCTACATTCAATGTCACT